ATTTGGTTGTATATTATTTTGTATACGCTTTATTATGATCTTTCATAGTAGAAAATAAGTATTTGAAGATTTATGTATGAGAAGTAGACTAAAAATAGAAAAAATTATCACGTATATAGGTCATAGATGGAACTCATCTTACGCTACAATCTTGTCAAGGTTACAAAAATTGCATTAGTATTTATTATAACGGCCAACACTTACATGATCCAAAATTTGACTTACATGATCATGATCATGATCATGATCAGCAAATGTAATTTCACGCGAGAAATTTTTTGAAAGTTGTAACGATGGTACGGACTCGTGTTTAGATGAATATTATCCAACCAGTTCACTAAGCCACCGTTTGGCCCCATTATTTGATATTATAATTTTTGGAATAGTATTTTTTTTAAGAATATGAGGTTAAAAAAATGATTTTTTATTTTATTTGTGTGTAATATTATATTTGAGAATGTGTGGTTAAAAAGAAGAGAGGGAAAAATTTATTATAAATTTAATGCGGCTCAAACTAGGGCTAATTCTCATTCATTTCTATTATATTATTTTAATTTCAGTACGTATAGAATATGTTTCGTTGTTTCTGATATCGTAGTGGCAACAGAGGCTAAGTTTAGAAAAAAATGAGAGGAATTACCTATGTTATTTTCCTTAGCTTCATTAAATAGATCCTAGGTTTAATTTAGATGGTACAAAATGTATTGTAATTGAAATTTCAAATAAATTGACGTATGGATATCTAGTCACACGTGGTAATGAAAAGAAAAGTTTACGTGAAATGTATCAGCTATACGTTAAAAAGTACAGTAGGAATGTTCGACAATCCCTCGTAACAAGGGTTACTCCTTCATAATATGACGACAATGATTTATGTAGCTACGTTAGTTCTTGTAAAGGCACTCAACATTTTGGCTTCAATTTTTTTGAAAATAACGAATCTAATTAGGGGCTATGATGATTTGGCTCTGCCCATGAAGTCCACGAGTCAAAAGGTCGAACTGAACTTAGATTTCATACACAAGTTGAGTTCATGTATTTAAGAGTCG